ATTTTCAGCAAATGTTCTTTTTTGGGTGAACTATTTCTTTAATGATTTGACATTTTCAGCAGGTGTTCATGGATGTGTTTGCACCTGGAGGGCTGTGGGTGAGGCGGAGCGGGTCGCGGGGCGGCTGGGGTCGGGATGGGAGCTGGAAGTCGCACGGCCGATGGGTTCCGAATCACTCGGACGTTTCCACTCAGCGGGTCTGCGGGAAGAGGCTTCTGGGGTGGACTGGGCTTCTCGAACACCTAGAGAAATGAGAGGAACTAAACTGAGTACAGGAGGAAGAACACACACCAACACAAGTTCTCATGAAGTTCCTTGAGAAAGGGATAGTCTCACATGAGTATATTTACTCATTTATCAAGCATGATTAATATACGTTGTGATAAACAAGATCTTTCATATATTGATTTTTGACAATGGAGAGCAATGGAAAAAGACTCCACTAAATCAGTGCTGTTATTGCTAACTAAAACTATCAAAAATTGTTTTCATTAAGTGAAATAAAGCTGAAATAAAATATAAATATCTAGATGGAAAAATCTGTGTTGTTAATTAAAACTATTTAAATATTTTTTTTGTAATTGAATTAAAGATTAAATAAAATAAATATATTATGAAAAACTTAAACTTAGCAAAAAAAGAGAAATTAAATAAGTTCAAAATTATTTCAAAGTACTAAAATTACTAAAACTAAAACTGGAATAAATTAAATTAAAGTAAAAAAAACTGATAAAAATTACTGAAAATATAAACATTGACAAATTAAAAAAAAGTTAAAAAAAATATATATTCAAAAAAATACTATAATGGTATATAAATAATACTAAAATAACACTACAGTAAATATCACGTGAGTTTGAGATGAAGATCTCAGTTTCAAATTGCGTTTAAACTTTCCAACATACTGAAGTCTGCAACAGAGTCAATTTGAACTCAAACATTTCTCATCAAATGATCTGAATTGCTATTCACACTCCTTTTTATAGCTCTGTAGTCTTCCTGTTTGTCACCAACTGTCTCATTGATGTCTATTTTTATTCCTCCAAATGAGTTTTAGCGACCTAGAGCAGTAACACATTCTTTGGATAGGCAATTTTCAATACTTTTGTGTTCCAGGGAAAGAAAAAATATAAGGGTTAATACTGACAGACCTTTCATTGTTGCTCCCTAACAAACTCTAGATAAAAACTAGCTTCCCTCTTTTGTCCACCAGATGGCAGTACAAGCTAATCTAACTTCACTGCTGCATGAGTTTAGTGCTGTATATGGCTTCACTGCTGCCATGGCGACTCTCTCCGGGGGTCATGTGACATGTTCATATGTTCCAAATCTACAGGCTGACTATGAGGTAATGATAGGCTGCTACCTGCTCTCCATCTGGTCCTCATTCTCTCTCATCTCTACAGAGATCCAAACATGATTTCACAGCTCACGTTCCTCTGTCTTTTACATTTTAATAAAGAGCTGAATTGCTCATATCTCAAGCGTCGCATGATTGCTGATGACAGAGCTCTTTGTTTTTGTAGCTGATAAAAAGATCTTGAGATGGAGGAAGTCTCATGTGTCTCCTCGCTAACGCTTCCCCGATGGAAAGTTCTCAAGAGTTGAATCAGCCATGATAACACTTCTGGTTAATGAAGCAGCCTGAGGTCACGCTGGACACGTCTGAGGTCTTCTGTTCATCATCTCATTTCTCTGCTGACCGCCGGTGTCTTATGAGATCACACTGATATCCGATTGATTCAAAGGATTAATTCACATCAAATGACTTATCTCAGGATGTTTGAGTTTAACGGTACACTATCATTCAAAAGTTTGGAGTACATATGATTTAAAAAAAAGAAATTTATACTTTTATTCAGCAAGTGCCCAAGCAATCATACAGAACACTCTAGCAACACCATAACAACAGCCTAGAAACCATCGAGAACCACCAGAACACCCTAACAACCCCCTATCAACCACCTAGCAACACCCTAACAACCAACCAGAACACCTTAACAACCGCCTAGCAAAACTCTAACAACCAACCAGAACACCTTAGCAACCACCTAACACCCTAACAACCAACCAGAACACCTTAGCAACCACCTAGCAGTGCCCTGGCAATCACACAGAACACACTAGCAACAACCTTACAACTCCCTAGAAACCATCCAGAACACCCTATCAACCATCTAACACCCTAACAACCACCAAGCAACACTCTAGCAATCACACAGAACACACTTGCAACAACCTAACAACTCCCTAGAAACCATCCAGAACACCCTATCAACCATCTAACACCCTAACAACCACCAAGCAACACTCTAGCAATCACACAGAACACACTTGCAACAACCTAACAACTCCCTAGAAACCATCCAGAACACCCTATCAACCATCTAACACCCTAACAACCACCAAGCAACACTCTAGCAATCACACAGAACACACTTGCAACAACCTAACAACTCCCTAGAAACCATCCAGAACACCCTATCAACCATCTAACACCCTAACAACCACCAAGCAACACTCTAGCAATCACACAGAACACACTTGCAACAACCTAACAACTCCCTAGAAACCATCCAGAACACCCTGGCATTGCCAGGCAACCACACTATAAACATAATAATCAGAACAATTAATCAGAGCAACTGCATAGCAACACCCTTCCTCAAATCTGAAACAAAAAGTGTTTTACAGTCTGATGCCATATGAAAACATTTTTAATTTCCAAGAACTTTTTATTCTCTAGTTATTTCACAGGGTCATGAGGTCAATTCCCAGGCAGAGCATGAACTGATAAAATATAAACCTTGAAAGCAATTAAAGTCACTTTGGATAAAAGCACCTGCTAAATACATTAATGTAATAAATAAATAAACACAATTAAAAGAACCCAGAATCCAAAATAGCAGCTCGAGAACCCCATACAGCTACAAATGGATCTGAAACCATGAGCAACTGAAGAACACTACGTTTTGAAGTGTGTTGGTTCATGGTTATTAGGTGATGTTTTAGCAAGGTTTTGTGTTGTGTCTCTTGTTGTCTCTTGAGAGGGCTCATCTTCACCATTCACCTATCTATTACCTGCCTCTTCCTGCAATCTGTCTCTCCACAGGTCGTCTTATAAAAACAGACAAAGACTCTCTTTTTACAGGCAGGTTTTTATGGGAGACAACCTCAAATTGCTACGTATTATCAAATAATGTGGACTGTCCACAGACACCGCACCTCAGGTAATTGACTTGAGCCAAACATCTCCATTTTAGACATTATTTAATGCACATTTTCTGTCTTTTGTTGTCGGCCTCTTTTAAAGAGGTGTTTGCAAATGGTAGAACAATGAAGATTATTATTCAATACATGTTGAAGTGTCCTCACGAGGTTAATTAACATTATTTTGTGAACCTCATTACTTTGACAGCAGATGATAGAGACTGCTGAATTTACATAACTACTTCTAGACGTATATATTAGGACTGTAAATTTAATCATCAAAATAATTAATTTATATGCTGGTTATTTAATCAAGTGAATTGCATGTATCAATACACACTGAGAAAACCCCCAAAATGAACATAATTCCAAGATATTATTGTGTCAGAAGAGTAAAAAGTGGGTTTAGAAGTCAAAATTATTTATTTCCTTATTTCATTGAACATAAGTCGATCAATGACCTATAGCCCACAGCTTAATATAGTCTGCCTCAGACAGTTTGACAAACTCAATTTCAAAATGCATTGCTATGTCAAAACCTTGAGTTTTCAGTTCCATTCTGATCGACTCGCTCAGTCTTTTATTGGCTGGCCAGAGGCTTCACTCTGTGTTTTCTTTGGATTGCATGAAACTCTGAACATACTTGAGATTTAATACGACATAGAGCTCTAATGAAAGAGGCCTGTTCACACCACTGCAGCTCCAGCATTAAACTGTAAAACTATTATAAAATACTAGTGTGTGCACTAAAAATGAGCTCTAACTCACCATTGCAACACTGCTGGGGAATGAGAGATCGATTAAAAGAAATTAAATCAGTTAAGCACAATGTACCTGCTGACATGTATAGAAGTGTACACAATGTTATTATGTCATTTTTGGAGAAAATCCACTGAACGTAAACAGCGTATGCTATTCTGTGTCAGCATGCGTCAAGCAGATACGTTGTTTTTGTTCAAATCGAATTCGTTCAAACGTATCCGTGTGACGCAGCTGACAGCTAAAGTCGTTACTTTTGTTTTCTTTGCGTACAAAAAGTATTCTCGTAGCTTCGTAATATTACGGTTGAACCCCTGATGTCACATGGATTATTTTACCGATCTCCTTGCTACGTTTCTGGACCTTGATCGTGGTAATTACATTGCTGTCTATGGGAGGATCAATATTATTGTGTCAGAAGAGTAAAAAGTGGGTTTAGAAGTCAAAATTATTTATTTCCTTATTTCATTGAACATAAGTCGATCAATGACCTATAGCCCACAGCTTAATATAGTCTGCCTCAGACAGTTTGACAAACTCAATTTCAAAATGCATTGCTATGTCAAAACCTTGAGTTTTCAGTTCCATTCTGATCGACTCGCTCAGTCTTTTATTGGCTGGCCAGAGGCTTCACTCTGTGTTTTCTTTGGATTGCATGAAACTCTGAACATACTTGAGATTTAATACGACATAGAGCTCTAATGAAAGAGGCCTGTTCACACCACTGCAGCTCCAGCATTAAACTGTAAAACTATTATAAAATACTAGTGTGTACTAGTGTGTGCACTAAAAATGAGCTCTAACTCACCATTGCAACACTGCTGGGGAATGAGAGATCGATTAAAAGAAATTAAATCAGTTAAGCACAATGTACCTGCTGACATGTATAGAAGTGTACACAATGTTATTATGAGTGGTGTGATTGCTCATTATAGTTATTGACTTGAACAAACCCCCAACGGTAAATATCAAAATCAGCTCGCTATTATTTTTCTCATTATCAGACTGATTTTCACCTGCTGAATGATAAAACAGGTAAAAAAAAATCCCACAGACACACTTTGAAGGAGGGACCCATGACATGTCTAGAGACAAACGTACAGAAAACCCTAGCAACCACCTAAAAATTCCCCAAACCCCTCCAAGAACCCCAACCACATAACAACAAACAAGGTACCACCCAGAACACCCTGGTGATCATCCAAAACATCCCACAACACTCTAGAAACTACATAACACCCTAACAACCATATGGAACAACCTAGTAACCACCCAACAATGCCCTAGCAACCACCAACAACACCCTAGCAACCACCCTAGCAATGACACAGTACCACCCAGAACACCCTTGCAACACCTAACAACAGCCTAGAAACCAACCAGAACACCTTAGCAACCACCCAGTACCACCTAGAACAGTGTTTCTCAACCCTGGTCCTGAGTGCCCCCCAACACTGCACATTTTGTATGTCTCCCTTATCTGACATACATTTCAGGTCCTTGAGTTTCTTTTAATGAGCTAATGAGTTGAATCAGGTGTGTTTGATTAGGGAGACACACAAAAGGACCAAAGTGCACAAGTCATATGGACTATTTTTTTAGAGCGCATTTATTGAGTTCTATGTCATTCTGCGTAAGAAGAAAGACTCATACAGATCTGGATCAACATGCAGCTGAGTAAATGATGACTCATTTTTGGCTGAGCTATCCTTTTAAATGATACAAATAAGTCTCATATGAGCACACATCAGAGCTGCTTTGAGCTCTTGACCTGCAGCCAGATGTGACAAGAACAAAAGGAGACGAGAGACAGAAACAGTGTGTGTGTGTGTGTGTGTCTGTATAACCTCACCTTGTCTAACATCAAACAGACCTACATACTCTATCCTGTTACCGTCACACATTATGAGGGACAGATACTGCAGCCACTCTTAAAGGAACAGTTCACTAAAAAAAACCATTCATTTTAAATTGTAATAATTTTTCACAATTTTCCCTTTTTTCTGATCACATAAATGTAGCCTTGGTGAATACAACAGACATCAAATTCCCAAAACTTTTGAACAATCTCTCACAGCACAGGCTATTCGGTGCACCACAGGGGCCGTTCGTGGTATTTTGCACATCCTCTAATCACAGATCTGAACTGCTTTCAGCCCTAAGATCACAAATGCATCCACAATCCATCTGGCTGAAAGGCGTATCTACTGATTTCCCAACAATGTGTGAGAGCTCGTGTGGTCTGACAGCTAAAGAGTGGGTTTCAAGCGCTGAACGCTCACTTTGACCTAGTAATACCCTTGCAACCACCCAGAACATTCTAGAAACCTTGCAGAACACCCTAGAAACCACCTAACAATAACAACCTAACAACCACCCAGAATACCATAACAATGCTGTAGCAACCACTCAGAACCACCCAGAACACCCTAGCAACCATCTAGAACCACCCAGAATGCCCTAGCAATCACCAATAACCACCCATTACAAACTAGCAACTACTTAACACCCTAACAACCACCCAAAAACACCCTACCATTCACCTAGCAACCACCCAGAACACCCTACCAATGCCCTAACCACCACTCAAAACACCCAGTCTTTTTTTTTTTATATGCAACTCCTGCAGCGCTGGCATATTTCCACTCACCATGTGTCTGTATAACCTCACCTTGTCTAACATCAAACAGACCTACATACTCTATCCTGTTACCGTCACACATTATGAGGGCCAGATACTGCAGCCACTCTTAAAGGAACAGTTCACTAAAAAAAAACATTCATTTTAAATTGTAATAATTTTTCACAATTTTCCCTTTTTTCTGATCACATAAATGTAGCCTTGGTGAATACAACAGACATCAAATTCCCAAAACTTTTGAACAATCTCTCACAGCACAGGCTATTCGGTGCACCACAGGGGCCGTTCGTGGTATTTTGCACATCCTCTAATCACAGATCTGAACTGCTTTCAGCCCTAAGATCACAAATGCATCCACAATCCATCTGGCTGAAAGGCGTATCTACTGATTTCCCAACAATGTGTGAGAGCTCGTGTGGTCTGACAGCTAAAGAGTGGGTTTCAAGCGCTGAACGCTCACTTTGTCTTTGCTGTGCTTTTTATTAAACAAAACTCTGGAGCGTGAGATGGACAGCAACGGTCACTCAGAACTGTAGTAAAACAGTCAAGCGACACACATATGCATGCCAGTTTATGCAAAAGTATGAAATATGCATATGTTGTGATGGGATTTGTAATATATACATGTGTGTGTGTGCATATATATGGGATATGTAAATGAGCACCTTATATATGCTGCCACTTTGTAGTAAAGCTGAAGTCTGACGTTGAGGAGACGTTCTGTACGTGGAGTATGTTTGAGTCCCAGTGTGTGTGTGAGCAGATGAGAGTGTGTGTGCTGGACTGTTCAGTCTGTTGGGTCCCACAGACCTGCAGCAAAGCACAAATACAGAACCCAATGTAGGATATCGCAATAATGATGTGCAGTTTTACCAACATCTTATCTAAAAAGGAACCTCCTCAGACATTCACATTCTAGCAAGGTTCTCTCAAAGTTATGAACAAACATTCTCAGTAACATCTTGCAGTAATTTTATCTGGTAATGAGCTAATGAGTTGAATCAGGTGTGTTTGATTAGGGAGACACACAAAATGTGCAGTGCTGGGGGGCGCCCAGGACCAGGGTTGAGAAACACTGACCTAGAACATGCTAGAACCCACCTAGCAATACCCTTGCAACCACCCAGAACACTCTAGAAACCGTGCAGAACACCCTAGAAACCACCTAACAATAACAACCTAGCAACCACCCAGAATACCATAACAATGCTGTAGCAACCACTCAGAACCACCCAGAACACCCTAGCAACCATCTAGAACCACTCAGAATGCCCTAGCAATCACCAATAACCACCCATTACAAACTAGCAACTACTTAACACCCTAACAACCACCCAAAAACACCCTACCATTCACCTAGCAACCACCCAGAACACCCTACCAATGCCCTAACCACCACTCAAAACACCCAGTCTTTTTTTTTTTATATGCAACTCCTGCAGCGCTGGCATATTTCCACTCACCATGGCGATCTTGCAGACGTTTTGGCAGGCCAGGCTACGGCCGGCGGCTCCCGCTGCTGGAGCGGATGTGTGTGCGAGTGCTGGTGGAGGGGCTCTGGGTGGAGTCGAGTATGTGTGTGGTGGCGTCAGCGGCAGGCTGAGTGCCAGCGGCAGCGGGTGAGAGAGGTGGACCGGAGGGCACGGGGGCAGCCGGCGGAGACCATGAGACGGGACCACAGAGTCCACCGTCTGGAGAGGAGACTGGGGCTACAGAGAGACAGATAAAGACGTGTCACACAGGCTTTCCATCATGTTTGACTGACAATGAATATTTCAATAAACATTAAACATGCAAGATGCACAAATCAATAAATCAGCGATATACTTAAAGGTAAGAAATGCTGTTGATATTTGAAATCACTAAAACAAACTCACCCCCACCCAAAAGGATCACACCCCTATCTTGATAGCAATGCAACACAGGCACCTCCCCCATCAAACATGGACACGCCCCTTACTGGTGATTGGCTACAAGTGTGTTTTGGTGCTCGGTGAGATCCACTTCCAATAGAGTTTCTCAGAAACCACTTACCATACCTTTAACGGAACAGTTTATACAAAAATTAAAGTTCTGTCATCATTTACTTATCCTCATGTCGCTTAAAACCTGTTTGACTTTCTTTACTGTAGTAAAACAGTCAAGCGACACACATATGCATGCCAGTTTATGCAAAAGTATGAAATATGCATATGTTGTGATGGGATTTGTAATATATACATGTGTGTGTGTGTGCATATATATGGGATATGTAAATGAGCACCTTATATATGCTGCCACTTTGTAGTAAAGCTGAAGTCTGACGTTGAGGAGACGTTCTGTACGTGGAGTATGTTTGAGTCCCAGTGTGTGTGTGAGCAGATGAGAGTGTGTGTGCTGGACTGTTCAGTCTGTTGGGTCCCACAGACCTGCAGCAAAGCACAAATACAGAACACAATGTAGGATATCACAATAATGATGTGCATTTTTACCAACATCCCAGCTAACAGGGAACATTCTCAAAACTTAACGTTCTCACAAGGTTCTCTCAAAGTTATGAACAAACATTCACAGTAACATCTTCCAGTAATTTTATCTGGTCTTTAATAATGTTCTCAAAACGCTGGAATAAAACAAAATCCAATTGTAGTTGGACATTGGTCTAACATTTTTTAAACGTTACTTCTTGGTCCAGAATGTTCAGAGAACATTCAAAAGTAACATTCAAATAATTATTGCTAAATTATAAAATGGAATGATCCCTTAACACTCACGTAACCATAGAATTCTCATTTTTGGGTGAACTAACCCTTTAAGCTTAAAAAAAAAAAAAAACATAAAAAAACATAATACATCATAAATATAGTCAGCACTTATTTTAGTATTATTTACATACTATTATAGTATTTATAAATATTTTCAATGAGCTTTTTTATATTTTCAGTTTTCATTTAAGTTTTAGTAATATAGTTATGTGTGTGTTTTTTTTATATATTTCTAATTAGCTTTCACTTATTTTAGTTTTAGCTATTTTAGTATTTCAATTTACTTAATTTCAGTTAGATGCCATGGCAACATTTCTCATTTGTGCTTGTTTCTAAGTTTAGGTTTTTCCACACTATATATATATATATATATATATATATATATATATATATATATTGGACAAAAGTGTGGTTATCAGGTTCTAAAAGTAGAAATAATTAGAATTATCAGCCAACATGTTCATATCAGTGCATCCCTACTTATTATGTATTCACAGGGGCCGTTCGTGGTATTTTGCACATCCTCTAATCACAGATCTGAACTGCTTTACTCAACAACAGCCTTGAGATCACAAATGCATCCACAATCCATCTGGCTGAAAGGCGTATCTACTGATTTCCCAACAATGTGTGAGAGCTCGTGTGGTCTGACAGCTAAAGAGTGGGTTTCAAGCGCTGAACGCTCACTTTGTCTTTGCTGTGCTTTTTATTAAACAAAACTCTGGAGCGTGAGATGGACAGCAACGGTCACTCAGAACTGTAGTAAAACAGTCAAGCGACACACATATGCATGCCAGTTTATGCAAAAGTATGAAATATGCATATGTTGTGATGGGATTTGTAATATATACATGTGTGTGTGTGCATATATATGGGATATGTAAATGAGCACCTTATATATGCTGCCACTTTGTAGTAAAGCTGAAGTCTGACGTTGAGGAGACGTTCTGTACGTGGAGTATGTTTGAGTCCCAGTGTGTGTGTGAGCAGATGAGAGTGTGTGTGCTGGACTGTTCAGTCTGTTGGGTCCCACAGACCTGCAGCAAAGCACAAATACAGAACACAATGTAGGATATCACAATAATGATGTGCATTTTTACCAACATCCCAGCTAACAGGGAACATTCTCAAAACTTAACGTTCTCACAAGGTTCTCTCAAAGTTATGAACAAACATTCACAGTAACATCTTCCAGTAATTTTATCTGGTCTTTAATAATGTTCTCAAAACGCTGGAATAAAACAAAATCCAATTGTAGTTGGACATTGGTCTAACATTTTTTAAACGTTTTTTAAACGTTACTTCTTGGTCCAGAATGTTCAGAGAACATTCAAAAGTAACATTCAAATAATTATTGCTAAATTATAAAATGGAATGTTCCCTTAACACTCACGTAACCAAGAAAAAACTGTTAAAATATATAAATATATAAAAACTAGAGAACATTGATGAATAATGATTATATAACTGAATGGGAGTGTTAGCAAAACGTTCTTTGAGCATATCTTTGTTAGCTGGGAGAAAATTGTGCTGACTGCAAAAGAAGCTTGTTCAGAAATTCGCATGGTTATGGCATCACAATCATGTACAAATTAACCCTTGGAAATTAAAAAGTTATTGGAAATGATATGCATTAACACCTACTAATGTAAATGGAGCCATAGTTAACCTTTTACTTTAGTAATTATTTTAATTTTTGAAACTACCAGTTATCATTTGCTCTTTTTTTAGAAAGAATAATTATGTAAAATTATTCTCCACTATACCTTTGGCAAAGCCGCAAGACAAAATACATATGTATAAATCTATATTTATATTGTAATAAATATATTATTGTTATAAGGAAAAATAAGATATATTCTCTAAGTTCTCTTTTATGTAGTTTTGCTTCTCAAGTAAACTGATCTCATTTTAAGGACATTTAGATGTTCTTTACTGGAAAACAAAACAAAAACACTGATCAAAAACATTATTAATTTGCAGTATAATGAGAATTAGGGGGTTAAATATGCTTAATTATCATCGTGCATAATCATAGTCAAATATTAATGGTCCTAAAATAGGTTTGATTTTCTTTGGCTTAAAACAATTTCTTAGTGTTTTTCTTTAGATATTTGGGATGAAAAAAATGTTCTCTTGAGATTCACCTCCTTAGTAAGCTCTCAATTTAATTGCTAAATGGAAATAAAATACTTCCAGTGTAACATCACCAAAGGAAAGCCGTTCCCAGACTGTATGGTTATGGAATCACAATCATTTGCAAATGAACTCACATATCAACATTTCAATGCATATTCAGAATTTAGGAACTTTCCCTGCCCTGATTAAAAATATGAACTATGGCAACACACAGAGGTTAGTCAATCTCAACTCATTTACATACAGAATTTTCAATGAGACGCTAGCAAAAACAAGTCGGTTTAATTCTATGGGTCAGATATGGAGGAAAACGGTCATGAAAAAACTAATTATGACTTTGTGTGGTGTATATACTATACAGCATGGCCTCTTGCACCTTCAAACTGATTGTTTATTTCAGCTGTGCAGGTTTGGTACCTCAGTTTTTCGATGGTGTTCTTCTTATCGCTGGAGAACAGACTGAGAGTTTTCCTCTTAATGCACACGATTATTCCAACACACAGCAGACACAGAAACGCCACCAGGATGCCCACCGTCACACTGCTGCTGTCTGCATGTACACACACACACACACAAAAGACTCAAGGCAGTTTAACGCAGGCTGAAAGCAGCAAAACGTCCCAAGAGTAATGCCACTAAGTATTTCTAACAATAAAACCAGGATGCTGGTGAACTGTTTAACAAAGATCTTGTATATATATATATATATATATATAAAATAATCAATATATGATATAGTTATTATTTTATTAAATAGTATAAAATATAAAAATTGTATACATATATGTACGTATACATAAATATTATATATACATAAAACACTAACAAAACAAAAACACTGATTAAAATCATGATTAATTTCTGGTTATCATGAAAATAATCAAAGTCACAATGCAAAACATTTTTTTTTTTTCTTTAGATTTTGGGAACACACGTTTGTGAACTGAGCAGATACTGTTGAAGCGCAGTATAATAATCATGGATGCACGTTTAATACCTGTTGGTCTCATCGGGCCGCTGTCCATACTGCCTCCAAACCCAGCTTTATCACAGAACGGAGGAGCCCAGAGAAAACATTTTTTTTTTTCTTTAGATTTTGGGATGAAATATGATCCAGATATGTTATCTTGAGATTCACCTCCCTAGTAAGCCCTCAATTTAGTTGTGAAATGGAAATAAAGTACTTTTCTTTTACAAATGCAAACATGACACAGAGTATAGGCAGGAAATTATTCAGTATCCAACTTTGCTAGCAGCATGTCTCTATGTGTTTGTGTGTATATGTGTTTGTGTGTGTGTGTGTGTGTGTGTGTTTGAGACACACAAACACACCAGTGACATCAGCCCGCATCACATGATTGCTGAATTAATACTCACTTTAGATTATGGAAAATGTAAGAGCATAAATGTAGTTTTATCAGCAATAACAGCACATGCTAGTGTAAATATATAAAAGAGTATGATTCAAATATCCAAGCATTACTTCACTATCTTTGTCAAAGCAAATAAATAAACTAACAAAAAAAATACAAGAAAGAAAAAATATATAAGATCTATAAATTATATGTTTGTGTGTGTGTGTGTGTGTGTGTGTTGAGCAGTCGTCATGTCCAGCGCGCTAAAAAGTCTGTAAATGCACCTCCTCAACATCTACCAAAACACTCAAACACTTCCTCTTTCCTCCATTTGGCAGCATTTGTTTCTGGTTCTCTCTTGGTGCTGATGAGCAGCAGCAGATGTTGGACTCAGAGGAACATGTTGATCTAATCTGGAGATTCATGAGCTCATTCATGGACTTCCACTATCTGTTTCTCACTATCTGCACAAACCTGGCTGTAACCAATCCGGCCTGTTCTTCAGGAAGACGGTGTTCACTGTGAGATCTTTCATGATGCTGGAGCTAAAACACATTCGCTCTGTCAGGATTCACCCCTCAGTATTTACACAGATCTCATCTGGTCTCTAAACATGCTTTGCTTAAATAAATGTAGATTTTAAAAAGCAGGAACTCTTACAGACAATGTAAATGTGTAAAACCAGAAACCTTAGTAAAATGTATATTTCAGATCAGCCTGAATTGCATTTGCATTTTTAATAATTTGTATTAAATGTGTAAGTCTTGCATTACAATATGAGAGAGAATGACTTGAAATAAAGGTCCTCAGTGGATTTTAGTTGCATTCAAGTAAAGCCAGAATTACTATAATTATGTTCAGCATAACAAAAACTATTTCTAGAAATCATATGGTGAATGAGCAAGACATTTCCTATTCCTATAGTATTTGCATTCATTAAACATTTACAACTACAAAAAGAAATTACTATAATTTTGTGTTTCTAACTTGTAAAAATCATATTCACATCATAGTCAAACACATAATTCTGAGCTGGAAACTCAAATTTTCATTAAAGCTCTGACTTTGATACATGTGAAAACAACCAAAATGTCAGAATGTATGAAAACAAGTCCTGTTTTGTGCAGTTTTGCTTTCCAAGTAAATTGATCTTGTTTTAAAGACACTTAGATGTGCTTTACTGGAAAACAAGACAAAAACTGATTAAAAACAATTCATTAGTGGTATAATGAGAACTGGGAGCCCAACTGTGCTTAATTATCATAAAATGTCCATTGAGCAATTAAATTGAAGGGTTACTAAGGAGGTGAATCTTAAGATAACACATACAGGTCATATTTCATCCCAATATCTCAAGAAAAAAAATATTATATAAATTTTCATTAGATTTTATTTTTACAATAATAATAATAATAAAATAAGGAATTATTATACTAATTTTCTTAGTTTTTTTAATAACTAAAATAGCTTTTCGGTAACACTTTAGTTTAGGGACCAATTCTCACTATTAACTAGTTGCTTATTAGCATGACTATTATGAACATATTGGCTGTTTATTAGTATATAAAGCATTTATTCTACATGACCATATTCTACATCCCTAATCTTATCCAATACCTAAACTTAACTACCTTACTCACTATTAATAAGCAGCAAATTAGGAGTTTATTGAAGCCAAAGTTGTAGTTAATGGTTTGTTAATAGTGAGAATTGGACCTTAAAATAAAGTATGACCAATTTTTCTTTATTTATTTTGGGATATATTATGACCTGGACATGTTTTCTTCAACAGTTTTCCTAGTAAAATCTCAATTTAATTGCTAATTGGAAATACAATACTTTCATTTTACAAATGAAAACATGATACAGAAATTTAGGTAGGAAATTATTCAGTATCCAACGTATCGAAGGGGATACAATACTGTAAAATGAACATCGAGATGCTTTAAAACAATGCGTGAGCTATGCTATACATATTATTTTGACTTGAATTAATCATGTAGTCATGCACTTTGCCATACTTATGAACAGAAATCACACGAAGCCCAGTTTGGCATTATGAGTGTCGTCGTAGAAATGAATAATTTATGAGAATGAGGACAAGAAGACGAGCTGTCATGTAATTATGGTAATCCTGACATGAGCGTCACATTGGATTCAGATTCCTCATCTTATCAAGAACATTTCTGCGCTGTATGGGCTTCTGGGAGTTAATACTGTACAGTATGTAGGTCTATGAAGATTCATTGTGAGATCAGATTTAGTTCAGATGGATTTCTGGGCTGCTTAAAGTCGACATGAAATGCTGTTCACCAAGCATTCAGATATATTTCTGAGTGAAACTGTAAAGACAGTGAGACAGATATAAACTCACCCCGTGTCCGCTGCACCTGGCCGAACAGTCGTGAACCCCGAGCACACTGATGTTCTGACACTGTCTGTTTATACACATCTACAGACACACACACACAGAGAGAGAGTGAGTTCATTTAGTTCTGTCAGTCAGTGATGATTGACAGCTCAACTCCACCCAAACATACTGACATGACCCATTCAAATGTCCTCACAGCAGCAAACAGGGTGGAAAAGTGTCTCATGCTGTGTATGCGTCACACGCAATTCAGCTTTATAACTTCGTTTTATTAATACTGTGATTACAGGGTCATTTCCAATTATGTCAGGCTGTAACCAATGAGGCCATTCTTTCCTCAGCCAACATCCCTGATTTCATTCATGACTCAATTTTGACTAAACGTGCAGTTATTGAATTTTTTGCCTTTGCATGGCACCAATGACTTCTATAGATTTTGATATAGAAATGAATTATAAGACATCAGATCAGGGTCAGCAATACGGATTGCTGCAAAATGCCAACAGTGAGATTTGTGACATTTGACATGCTTCATAATACACTATTCTAGGCATATCTAGTCATGTGTAAAGTTATGGGTAATAACCTGATCCAGGAAAATAGTGCTGAGTTTTATATATAAATATGAGAAAGTAAATCTATAATGAGCCTAATTTACATAGAAATGTGACATTTTGCACAATTTTAGCACATTTAATTATTGCATGTGTTGAGTAAATATGCAGTTTGAGCTAAAAAAAAAAAAAAAAAAAAAAAAAATGTGTCTTAAAATAATAATAATAATAATAATAATAATAATAACTTAAGTGACTAGTTAACTAGTTAACAAAAAAGCAATAGTTAAACAATCCACATATATGCTCTAGTTTCACTCAGAATACCCTAGAAACAGCATAGCAATGCAATTGAACCCATTCTGCCGTCCTGATGTTGGTGATCTGAACAAGCTTGAGTTACATTAAATAAGCAATGGTCATCTTCTCATTCTCATCATCTTTACCATGTTTTCTCCACACTTGGTGCCGGTGAGCACGAGGCCCGGATCAGGCATGTCGTCTCCCAGGTACACATGAGTCCCACGGCAGAGGATACGCCCTCCTTCCTGGAGCGGGATGTTGGTCGCAGCCAAAACACAGAGAAATAATGAGGCATCCTCTCCACTAAAGACCAATTACTGCATTCAGAGGGCAGTTTCTCACGCAGTCACGTCCAAAAAAAGAAAGAAAGAGACAGCCAGATAGACAGAATGTGGCTTGAGTCCCTTTGGCCAAAATAAAGAGTCATTAGCGGCTGAAACCGTTTCTTTCTCCGTCTGTCCACTTCAGTCATTCAAGTAATTACTACATTGAGGATATGATCCGTGAAGCACTTAATAAAGCAGCCAATTAGAGCTTAACTAAAACAAAATATATGACAGTTGTTACCTGCATATGCAAATTACTGTGACATTTTCAATAGGCTTCTGTTCTCTTTCTTTTAAAGACTTGTTGTTATTTGGCCGCCCATTTGATTTCTCGGTGGATTCGTCTGTGTGTGTGCGTGTGTGTGTGTGTGTGTGTGCGTGTGTGTATGAGACAGTCAGTCAATAAAGAACAGAATGGGAAGAACCTAATGAGAGAAATTCATTTAAAATTTAATTTAAACCTAAAAGGTAATTGTAAGAGAAAAACACTCAGTAAATAAACACTCCGAGACCTTGGGGGTTTTTGAAGGTACTTTTGATTTTCAAATCACAGTGGAGCTATAAATATATAGATTATTTTTGGCAGCTGTAAAAGAAACATTTTTACAATAAATATTCTGATTTGACCTTGAGATTAGCTTCGATATTTGACCACTATTTATAGTAATACTTGGTTACAATGACACTAATAGTTCTTATTTCTGCCAGGAATACAAAATCAATCGTGAATTAATGACAACTTGAATAGAATGACACAAACCTATTCAATCGCGTTTGCTTTCATTTATTTTTGATCAGTGCTTTGCTACACAACATACAAACTTTTATTCCAACAGTGCACGCATTGTGTATTCACACATTTACCTCACATTTCTTTAAATAGAATAGAACCATTGTTTCTTAATGACTCGCAGAAAGACAATTCTCTGCCGATCCATCGGTCAATATTGCGTGATCATAATTCCCACATTACGGTGACGGTAAACTTCTGCATTCAGTCTCATAATACATTTATGCGTCAGTTTATTATATATAATATCTGCATTAGGTCACAGTAGAGTGAGTTTTGAGCAAAAACATTGTGTATTAATCTCATTCTGTCACGCGCTCTGACTTTCTGAAAAGCCCTGCATGGATTAAGGCACGTGAACCAGGATCACGAAACCCAGACGGTCTCTATTAAGCAGGAGCGCTGACACCTTCGGGTGGCGCTGTCCTCACCCTGTCCCCACAGTGTGATGCACTGCTGCTCGTGTGTCTGGCAGATGCCGTTGTAACAGTGTCCATCCACACCTTGACAGTTGTGTCCGTCGTGCAGGTAGACATTAGCGGGACAGTGGGGATCGGCACCTGTGCAAAACTCCGGCAGGTCACAGGAGTTACTGGACTCACGGCACGGAGTCCCTGCAGACTTCAGCTACACAACAAACACATCATGAAATTTGGCACATATATTAATACTATAAAAATATAATATTAATATGGCAATTACACAATGAAGTCCTTTCAGTCAATACAAAATAACAGTTTACTTTTATCTTAATTTATTAATGTTCCCGGTTTTATTGTGAATGATTCCTCAGTCCATGTCCATGCTCTAAAGAATAAAAAAATTTGATTGCTTTAGAATAATATGCACTTTTACTTATTTTGTTTGGTTATTTAGGCTTACAGTGTTTTAATAGCCAACTTTTGATAAGATTATTACTATTTACAAACATACAAACACGAAAAAGATACACATTGAAAAATAAAGCACAATGAAAACAGAGACTTGATTTAAGAAAATATTAACTTAAGTAAAATTTGTAAAACATTTTCAAGTTAATATTTATTTTAATATTTTGTATAATATTTTATTTATTATATATTAAATTGTTATAAAATTATGTAACATTTAATACATTTTCTGAATCAATGTCATCCTTAAGCTAATCTCATTAATTAATTTTGCTGCACATTTTTAATTTAAGTACATAAAATTAGCAAGGTATTAAAGAGACAACAAATAAAGTGGATTACGATGAATGTCAAAAGTTACCTGACAGTCTTCACAACACTGTCCATGTGCACATACAGCCTCCTGTTTCAGTGTGCATGTACTTGCATTACAGCAGGGATTCAGACACTCCTACAGAGACAGAGATTTAACACTGATAATAGCAGAAATGTTTCTTGAGCAGCAAATCAGCATATTAGAATGATTTCTGAGGGATCATGTGACACTATGCTTAAAATTCAGCTTTGATCACAGGAATAAATTACGTTTTACAATATATTCAAATAGAACAGTTAAATTACAATAACATTTCATAATTTTACTGTATTTTTGATCAAATAAATGCGGCCTTGGTGAACAGAAGAGACTTCCTAAAAAAGTATTTTTTTTCTAATTGAGATGTGACTCAAGTATATTTGCATAAGTGTACGAAATAATTTCCCAGATGCTTTCCTCTGACTGCTGGCTATGTGGAAATTCATAAATTGTACATGAGCATTGTTGATGGATGCACAGACACAATCGATGTACGTTTTTGCTATGCATTCTTCACTGCCAGCAACATTTCAGCAAAGACATCAATGAACAGATTTAAACCCTCAGGAAACACCTGAAGCACTCAGACACTAACAAAAGCTTTTCTCTGCGGTCCTCGCAAAAACTCCTGGTCCAACGTGACAGATGCATCTCATTCTTGTGCTTCTTCTCACAGCATGGTCGCAGAAAACACTGGGCTGTTTATTTCGCTCGCCGCAGATTTGGAGGAGCGACTGCTAATGATACACGACTCACTGGAGAGTTTGAAACTCGCAGCACATATGCGGCGCTTAAGGGAAACATGTAAATGTCGGCATGACATGCGTTTTCAAAAAACAAAACACACGAGCTCTGACGTACCTCCACATCTCCGCAATCGCACTGCTCTCCCTCCTCGACATATCCGTTTCCACATTTCTGGCCTCCGTAGAGCACTTTCACCTCCGGCATGTTGAACAAACACATGCCCACACCTTTCTCCATACTCGCCGCAAGATCCTTCTTACTGCACGTACTGAAGACCGTAGGGAAAGGATACCTGAAAGAAAGCAGAAATATTACCTCGGTGATGATTTTTAAGAAAACTGACCGTTCACTCTTGTACGATTTTATGGCGGTTGACAAGCCAACTTATGGTGTATTCAGTGATGATTTAAGAAAACTGACTGTTCAGTTTTGTGACAATCAACAGATGCACACATAAATGGACCAATCAGGCAGTGGAAGTCTTGCCAAGGAAATGACATCACCCTGTAAGTGCTGACTGGCATGAGGACCAATGAAATGAGTCCCAGAGGAGAGAACAGCAACAGATAAGAGATATTTATAAGTCCTGCGTTTGTAAGAAATCACACTGACTGGATTCACCAGATTGTAAATTGGAGGCAGCGGGAAATGCGTGTGTGTGCAGGACACTTCATATTACACATGGTTTCAATTGGATTGAATTATCCAACAAACCAAGATTCTAATAGACTGGTTTGTGTTCATTTGTAGTGTTTGCTTACGCAAATATCACTATTACAACCTAGAAACCGCACAGCAATGTACACACACAAAAACAACACATTAGCAGCTGCCTCGTAACACCCTAGCAACCACCAAACCAACATTCTAAAAACCACTCAGTACAGCTATAGCAACCACTCACAATGCCCTCACAATGGCATAGCAACATGTTAAAAAAAAAACACTCTGAACACAACAGCAACCAAGTCAAGTCACCTTTATTTGAATAGCGCTTTATACAATACTGATTGTGTCAAAGCAGCTTTACAGTGTCAAACAGTTTGGCAATTATGGAAGACAATAACAAAGTGTCATTTTTCCCAGCTAAAGCCAGTTCATTGAGGATTCAGTGATGTTCAGCTCTCTTCCAATAGTGTCTGTGCAATCAGTCAAGCGACCCCAGCTAAGCAAGCCAAAGGCAACAGTGGCAAGGAACCAAAACTCCATCGGTGACAGAAATGGAGGAAAAAAACCTTGGGAGAAACCACATACAGTAGCAATGCCCTAGCAACTACCCAGCAACATTCTAGAAACCACTCAGTACAACCATAGCAACCATCCATAATGCCTGGGCAATGGCATATCAACACGTTTAATAATACTCAGAACACAACAGCAACCTCATAGCAACGCCCTAGTAACTAACCAACCACCAACATTCTAAAAAGTACTCAGTACATCATAGCAACCACTTTTAATGCCCTGAAAGCAGCACAGCAGCATATTAAAAAACACTTAGAAGGCCATAGCATTCACATAGCAACAACACAACAACCACCTATAATGCCCTGAGAGCAACATAACATGTTATGAATGCTCATTGCTCAGAACACCAAAGCAACACCATAGCAACCACCCACATGTTAAAAACATTTAGAATACCATAGCAATCACATAGCAACACCCTATAATTAATAGCAACATGATAAAAACATTTAAAACGCAATAGCAACTCCCTAGTAACCACTCACAACATGTTAAACACCCACACAACATAGTAAACACCCACAATGCTAAGGAACATAGCAACATGTAAAAAACACTCAGAATGCCATAGCAACAGCCTAGCAACCAGCCACAAATATTCTAAAAACACCAAAGCGACTCCCTAGTAACCACTCACAACATAGCAACCACCCACAATACACAGGCAATAAAGCAACATTAAAAACACCCAGAATGCAACAACAACCACATTGCAACTGCCTAACAACCACCCACAAACATTCTAAAAATCACATAGCAACCACCATCCAACCCTGTTGAAAAAAAAAAACAGCATATGCTGGCTAGGTAAGTTTTGAAACATGGCAACTGGTTTGAGCTGGTTTAAGCTGGTTTAAACTGGTTGAGCAACTAGCTCCTGCTCAGGACCAGCTTAAACCAGCTGCCATGTTTCAAAACATACCAAACCAGCATTTGCTGTTTTTTTTTTTTCAATATTTTTGTGGAAGCGAGTTTTGAATGCATTTTGATGTAAAACTCTAGTTCTTAAGTAGTTTCCCACAAGACACAGAAACACTTCCATGCTTGGTGGAGATGATTTCACCTCAATTACACACACACACACACACAGTAAAAGTGGCCCACAAATCCACTCTGAATATCATTGCTCCCCTGTGGAGTGTAACAAAATGTTTCGCCGTAGCATCTACATGACGAAATCCCAAGTTTACAAACATCCCACCAGTCAGAGAAATTACAGCCCTCGTTTCTGACTGACAGCGATGTGAGAGCTCCCAGAGAGAAGCATATGGCACATATTATGAGACTGGCTGATGAGCTCATGATCGTGAACACCATCTGTGATCAGGGAGGGTTTTTGGGAGGATTTAGTGATGCTGATTGCAGGACTCGATGCAGGTGTGAATTATTACAGTCGGACGATTTCATTAACACACTGAACGCTACATCACTAAACATCCTGATGAATTAAATCAGTATGATTGGTTGAGTTACAACATATGCTGTAGATCTGGAGGTTGAGTATTAAACATAGACATTCTTACAGACCCTTTATTTTCCAAAATTACTTATTCTAAGAATATTTAACTAATTACACTGCATGTTATGCCTAATAAATTACATTTTAAAATATATTACAATATGAATGAATGAATGAATGAGGCATTTATATAGCGCTTTATTGTGCATTGCTGTACACCCAAAGCGCTTTACAATCATATGAGGGGTCTCTCCTCAACCACCACCAGTGTGCAGCATCCACCTGGATGATGTGACGACAGCCACAGTACAACTGCGCCAGTGCGCTCACCACACACCAGCTACAGGTGGAGAGGAGAGAGAGAGATTCAGTGGAAGGGGATTATTAGGAGGCCATGACTGACAAGGGCCAGTGGAGGCCAGGACACCGGGGATGCTCCCCCACTCTTTGCGAGAAGTGGCATGGGACTTTTAATGACCACAGAGACTCAGGACCTCAGTTTAACGTCTCATCCGAAAGACAACATTTATTTCATAGCATGATTGGTGTCATAATAATTTTTAGCAAAATGACCATTTTTACTGTATCAAATAAATGCATCCTTTGGAGCACAAGGGACTTCCTTTATATATTTAATAAAAAAAAAAGATTGACTGCAGTCCCAGCATGCCTCAGTTCTTCTGCATGAACAGGAACACAACCAGAGCTCATCTTCAAACCGCACTGCTTTATTAAACTGTCACGCAACATCATGCTTAACTGGCTAAAAATGAAACTTGGAAACTTTAATGTGTGTTCTTCAGACGGAAACTCATAACACGCCTGTTGTTGCTTGTTTTTCTTCTCGAGGTTGAAGATTACTCGAGTCCTGTGTGATTGTGATGAGTTTGTATTTGATAATAGCTCTTGAATTATTGAATTTGTTTGGCACAGATGGCTTTGACTGGCTCTGATGTGATTGTGAAGTGTGTGGCATGCGTGTCTCTGCTGGGAAATATCATGCAGAGAGAAACATCTATCAGTGCTGTCAAACACATCGCGCAGCGACAGGAACCACTGTAATCCAGGTCGTCTGGTTCTGGCCTGGATTTCCAACATCAGCCAGCAAAGATCTCTCAAAGAGCACATGATGGGATATATATATATATATATATACACACTCACTGGCCACTTTATTAGGTACAGCTTGCTAGTACCGGGTTGGACCCCCTTTTGCCTTCAGAACTGGTGTACCTAATAAAGTGGCCGGTGAGTGTATATATATGAAATGTTTCATATATGGCTGTTGGATTTGTTTGTACAAATTAACATTATATAGATCTGTCTGTCTGTACGCTTTCCAACATATTTTGTGTTTTGGATACAGGCTTCTCAATACGGCTTCTTTGATTTATAAATGAAATGAAAAATGAAACCATAGGCCAAATGGTCGACATTTACTAGCTAAATACTAGAAGTGATGATACAACTTAGTGTACTCTTTCTTTTTGATCCAATACCATGTACTATCAAGGACACATCGCTGATACACCAATCATGCTATGAAATACAGTATTTGATATTTAAAAGCCATAGTTTTTAACAATTAAATGGCCTAAAATGCAAATTCCTGTAACTAAAGATAAAGATAAATAGTTCTTAATAAACTTTTTTTTTCTTTTCAAAGTTGACATGAATTTTTCTGCTATATATATATATATATACAAATTGAAAATGCATGCTGTTTTATGGCAATTAATTAAATATAAAAAAAAAGATAGGTCTCGTTTAAAAAAGAAAAAGATAAATAGAAAACAGTCTTCAATAAACTTTTTCACAAGAATTTTCCTGCTAAATAATTAGAATAATAAATAAAACTTTAAAAGAATAAAATTACTAGTTAGAATTATTATTATAATTAATAATAATAATAATAATAATCAATTAATTAATAATAATAATTATTATTATTATATCATATTATTATATATTTGGGAACAGTAATTTTATGTGAAGATCGATCCTCTCTATAAAACATTATTGTCAAAAAAATAAATACTTGCCACCGATCTCTATTTTTTGCTGCTGAACAGCTCGGCTGTGCTGGTTTACCAGGTAGACCAGCACAAAACCAGTCCTAAACCAGCACGGACCAGCAAGGCAATTCAAACTGGGTTGTAAAACCAGCAAAATATCAGTAGACTTTTACACTTCTGGAGATAAAAGTATGTAAAACTCACTGCCACAATGCTAGGATGACGTTTCTTTTCTCCTGCTTAACCAGTATTACATTCATAAAGGTTTGCAACAACAAATGATGGCAGAATTTTCATTTTTGGGTGAGCTATCCCTTTAAACTAAACGTGTAACAAGTATTCAATAAACTCACTTTCGAAGCTCAAACTTTGGCAACCATCAAGTAAAGCGCTGGGCAGCGTTTACCTCCTACATCCTCAGATCTACAGCTTATCTTTTCAGCATGGACCAGCGTTTGGTTCAGAATCCAGTTGGCTTTGCTGTGGCCATTAATATGCAGCAGAACTGCCGAATACTGTGATGCTCACTGCGTTTCTGGCACACGTACTGAGACAACAGGGCAAACGCAAGCATGGAAATCTGGCTCGTGTCGGCCCTCATGCTTGCTGGAACAACTGTACCCGGGACGACCAGCGCCAGTGTGGTATAAGCCTGCGGGAGGACGAGAGATAAGCAGATGCTTCCTCTTGCCTCCTGATGCCAACCCAGAGATCAGCGCTCAGCGATAAGCCACAGCGACTCGAGTGTGTCTAAGCTCTCAAACACCTCCCCTGGACTGGACTCAACAGGAGGCCCACACAATGGAGATACTGCCACGGGCACAGAGATCTCGCTGTGAGTGGGGTTTGTTCTCTATGAGGGTATGAGGAGCTTCCAAAGACTCTATAGAAGCACAGGAACAAATATAGCAGCGTTAGGAGCCACAGAAGCTGGGGGCTCAATGGAGAGAGTCGCCTACAGAGTCCTGCTGTAACACTACATCAGTATTTATGTAATATTTAAAGGGATAATTCACTGAAAAATAAAAGATCTGTTCATTTACTCTTCCTCATGTTGTTCTGAACATGCGTGAACATTAAAAAAGATATTTTCAAGAATGCTGGGGTCCAGACAACATTGGACCCCGTTGACTTTCATTGTATTTCGCAAGTCTTGTTTAACTTTTGTAAGTTTTGATTGTTATGTCAAAGATGGTCTTTGGCCTCTGGCAATTTTTTTAGTTTCTAACCACAAACTGAAATGAATGTTTGTTTTTTAATTAATTCATTTAATGTATATTTTGAAATGAACTGAAATGAGAAAAATAAATTACAATTCAGTTCTCAAATGCTAAATTAATTTGAAGTGAGGTAGCAAACAGGAAGCAGAATTGAAAAAAGGAGAATTTAAATACCAGAAATATAGAACCTATAGACATTTTTTAATTTACATATGTTCCAAGAAATTCAACACAGGTAATGCATTGTGGGAAATGTTGTTTTCCAGCCTGGAAAACAACATTTGTGATTTTTTGTTTTAAAAAAAACTCTGATTTTTTATTTTAATTTCTATTTTTTTTATTCCCCTAATTTTGATCCTGGGAATACTCAACTACAGTTTTCTTATGCATTTATGACCTATATGATCTACTATATATAAATTATTTATATGTATGCATAAACATTTTAATAAAACTTAAACATTTACTTTAATTGACAAAGGTCAATTTATTAAAATATATATTTAAAAATGTATTATTACAAAAATATTTAAATACAATGAATTTGAATAAATGTAAACTTTTGCGAAACAGGGTGGAAGAACACTTCATTTTCCAGAATGCATTTCCTTAAAGTGAAATGTCTTCAGGAAATTTCTGTTCTTGTCATCCCAATTCAAGTAGGCCTATTAAATTCAAATTCAATCAGATCTACCAGCTCCAAAACATCACATAAAAACACATACTGGTGGCTTGAGCTGTCAATCAAGCAGTCTCTTCCTGTCTAGGTGGGCAGTGCTTGTTCAGAATAAGCCGTTGATCACACGCTGTGCCGATAAAGTCTGGCTACTTGAGATTACATTCATCAAACCTGCAGGAGTGAAGGAGCTGCTTCAAACCTCAGAGGGATTTTCACCACTCACGTCTTAATTAATGCAATTATATAGATGTGAAGCTCCTAAACGAGCACCTGCTGTGATGTTAAATTCATTTATGCTTTGATCTATGAAAGCTCTGTGAGAGGAGACGCAGACTAATGCGCTGTAATGGAAGAAATATCCATCTTAATTGTCTTATTCCAGATTCTCATTTGTACAAATACGTGACAAATATGTTTCTTATTTTCTGTCTCTCTGGATGAGATCTGTTTTTCTCGCCTGGTCCTTTATGAGCGCATCACCGAGCGTCACGTTACGGGTTTTTCATGGGTGCAGTCCAGCTAAAACACTCGTGCGGATGAACTGATACACACTAGACTAGAGGATGCTGGGATTGAGTTGGCCGGTGTGCGACCATCTGCCTCATGAGAAATCTAACATGGCCTGCAAATGTGTGATTTACTTGCTGGAATCACACAAGACAACTACTTTTACAGACTCAAAACTGCTGCCAACCATTTCTTGGGAATGCCACACATTAAATGTCTCTATACCTGAAATAGGTGTCATGAGAAATCCCATCTGTTTCCATGACAGCACTGCATCTCAGCCAATCAGAAACGCCCACTGCCTGTCAATCATTGTGCATGTTGAGTTTTTCTGTGATTCTCCTGACCCCATTTCCCATCTCTCTTCTCAAATTCTAGTCAATCGCTGCTGTTTCTGTCCAATAAAAAGCCAAAAGTTCAATCTCATTCACAGAAATCCACAATCACTTTCTGATGAGTAAATATGTGCTGCTAAACAAGTTTATTCCTAAAAAGAGTTTAATCAAACCCTTATTGTTTTATGAATTTAATCAATATGTGCTAAAACTGACAACCTAACTCTAAGACCTATAACACTAGCTTGCTCTATTCTTTTTCTATTCTATCAGTTTCCTTTTTATTTATTATATTACTTAAAAAACCCTTGCTACGTGTACTGCGTTAAGCTAACTGAGACTTGTTATAGCACTTGTATATCATTGCTCTTTTGTTGATTTTGATTGCTTCCATTGTCCTCATTTGTAAGTCGCTTTGGATAAAAGCGTCTGCTAAATGAATAAATGTAAATGTAATGTAATGTAAAACTGTCTCCATGTTTAGTTCGAATGTGTTTAATTCATGTGTTTAGAGTTGTTTCTTCATCACAGGTCTCAGAACATCTGACCATAAAACCAGTCATCTCGTCTAACAGATGACAGAATAAATTAGCATCAAGTTGCACAAGCTCTGATGTTTTTATGAAATGAGTCCCAGCTGGTTTGTGCTACACAGACGTCATGAACCAGCGGGGTCAACTGGAAGCATGCTAATGAGCGTGTGGCTAAAGGCTAAAGGCTAATGCTGTCCCGCTGGGTGGGGTATTAAGGTCTGCTGTTGTGCAGATGACCAAATGGAGCTCATTATGGAGTAATGAGGCAGAAAGAGAGCGAACAGCTAACTAACAGACAGAGTCGTCATGTGCCGAGCAGGCCGGAAATTCTGGGTAAAACGGAATAAGAAACTGATTCACACTGACAAAGTCAGCTGATGGGTTTGACTGGATTTTACACGGAACTTTTACTGTGGGCTGTTTGTTCTTCTTTGGTCAATTACTTTAATAAAAACATAAATTTTTTCACAATATCTTCTTTTGAGTTTTGCTGAGGAAAAACAGTCATACAGATAGTGCTAATAAATAAACATATATATATATATATATTTTTATTAGCACTAGATGATACTGGGATCCCAGCACCATACAGAGAATAATTGGCTTGGAAAATTAATTGGAAAAAAAAATAAAAATCACCACACCACATACGTTACTGCAAAAATAATGATGGTTTCCAAACAGGTTTCCATACATGTCTGAAAGCATCACAGAGCCTCAGTGAAACAAAACTGTGAATGGCCTCATTATAGCACATTAAACTGATATAGGAATGTTTTAACATAAAAACAGCTTTAAGAATCTCATTTGCAGAACTGATGCAGTTTTCTCACCCAGTGGAGGGGGTCATTATACACCCGCCGCGGTCCACGGAGGCTCTGCAGCCGCAGCCACGCTCCGGCGTGTCGTGGTTCATGCCGAAGTTGTGTCCGAGTTCATGGGCCAAAGTAACCGCAGCGCCAAGAGGGTTATCGGAATGATCCTTAAGACAGAGAGAGCGAGAATCAGTCAAGTGCAATAAAAAGAAATGCTTGGTGAATTCAAATAAGCAATCAATTTCAATTTAAAACAAACAAGAGCAATTTCTTCCTCCGCGACCCCCGAGACTCGAGAGGCGCTATCCGTCCTGTTCCACCTTCCCTCCCCAGATTACATTTATCCCCACATCTCTCCTCCTGCGTGTTTGTTTTTCTCTCAGAAAACGGTTTCACATGAGATCTGTAATGAGCAGACACTAATGGCCTTTCTAATTACTTTTCCACAAATCCATCAGAGCAGCATAACTGGAGATCCGCTGCTGTAATTGCAGACCGTTCTGCAGGCTTTGTTTGGGGAAGGGTGTGTGCTGATGAGGCAGGACAGACACAATTACAGTCGCTTTGGTGAGGACGTGTCTGCCAAACACGTGAAAATCTAATTAAAATGAAGGAAAACCGCCAGATTCACTTCAGTTCTGAGTGATCATTCCTGTCAGATAATGAGCATGAGGAAAGTTTTATTGCTCAGAAGGTGCTCTTTCGGAGCTAGAGAGACTTGGAAACCAAATACTGGAACAAAATGATTTTTAAAAAGTTTGGGGTCAGTTAGGAATTAATGCTTTTATTCATCAAGGATGCATTAAATTGATCAAAAGTGATGGTAAAGACATTTACAATGTTTCAAAAGACTTCCATTTAAAATAAATGCTGTTCTTTTGAACTTTCTATTTATCAAAAATCCTGAAATAAATCATGGTTTCTACAAAAATACACTGTGAAATTTTTTTTCTAAGTTATAATAAAACAGATTACTGGAGTACGTTTGACAAGAAAATACTGTTTCAGTCTTCAAAATGTCATGTTTAATTCTATGTGTTACTTTCAATTTCTTTATAATTTTTTTTTTTTTTTTAATTTACAAGCTATTTCTGAGTGAAAAATTTTTCTACACCATTTTTTTCAGTGTATGAAGCAGCACAACAATATTGATAATAATCAAAATGTTTCTTGAGCAGTAAATCAGCATATTAGAATGATTTCTGAAGATCATGTGACACTGAAGACTGGAGGAATGATGCTGAAAATTCAGCTTCGATCACAGAAATAAATTACATTTTAAAATATATAATTAAACAGAAAACAGATTTTTTAAATTGCAAAAATATTTCACAATATTCCTGTTTGCACAGCGTTTTTTTTTTTATCAAATAAATGCAGACTAGGTGAGCAAAAGAGTCCTCTTTTAAAAATATTTTAAAATTTAACCCACCTCAAACTTTTGAAAGGTATATATCACATTTACTCAAAAAACCTTTACAATTATTGCTGGCATGATCACGTGTAACTTTACAATTTTAAGCTTTCCATGGGCATTTATAACTGTGTTAAGCAAAAATGCTGATGCTTATGAATCTGGCACATTCTATAATGAGCCTCATTTGCATAGAAAGGATGCATGTTTTGTCAAAAGAATTACTTAATTTAAATATGCACGATGCAATTTGTCTGTAATTTTACAGACTCCTGTTTAGAGGGTGTTAAAAGAATCAGATCAGTTTGAAATCAAGCAGGAATACAGCAAATTGCATTTCCAGAAGCCTTGGTTAAAGGAAGTTTATGTCCGAACACAACGTGGCAAAAGTTGCAATTTTCTCACTCTAGAGGACACAAATTTCGGATTACTGCACTCTAAAAAATGCTGGGTTGTTTCAACCCAACTTTGGGTCAAATATGGACTAACCCAACCGCTGGGTTACATTTTTTAATTACATTTTTAACCCAAAAGTTGGGTTAGTCCATTTTTGACCCAAGGTTGGGTTGAAACAACCCAGCATTTTTTAGAGTGTGGGTGTGTGTTTTTTAAAGCATAAAAAAGACAAGCAAAAGTCTCCATTTGCACTCCATTTAATCTCTTTTCATGCCATTTTGTGAATTTTCTTTCCACTGGATGTGTGATTGGAGAATTCTGACGGTCCGGGGAGCTGAACACAATCATCTATAATCTGCTGCTGTCTGTGTATCTCATTGCATTTTCAGAAAGCTTTAGTTTAGTTTAGTGGGAACTGGTCAAATGAGGACAAAACCTCATCCGAACACAAGATGTCATGAGATCGTGCCATGTTTTCTGTGAAATACTGTGGCTTTTATGGTGGCAACTCCACTCAGTCAAACAGCAAAAACAAAAGTCAGACATTCAAGAGGCGGCCAAAGGAAATAAAACACATCCGATGAATGAGTCAATGAAGAAAACATGCATGTCTGCTGTTTTGACTGACAAAGTTAAAAAGTTTTGGAAGAAACCGCATGTGACTATAATGATCTATAATGGAGAAGCTTCATATAATGGGATCCTCAATCAAAGCTCAAATACTGAGATGGTCCAGTTTACTCCAACATAGAGGCCAGAAACCCACTCTATTCAAGCAGAATGAAAGCAACAGTTTCAAATGTCTGTGCTTTTAAACCGGAGGTCTTATTAGTCAGGTAGCCGGCTATAAATATGTTTACATTTGCTGTGCAAGAACACATACAGCGCTTTCCCTCGATCTGTATCTCAGAGAGCTGCTTTGATTTTGTGTCTCAGTAGGATGTTATGGTGGAGTGCTGGGTGATCAATGTGTTGGGTTGATTTAGGGAAAACATCTCTAGACGGCCGTGCTGAGTGAGTTACTGTCCTCTTCTGACAAAGTAAAGGAGGAGATGATCATCTAAAAGTTAGAACCGCAGCAACCTCGAGTAACCTCTGTATTCAAAAACTAACTGATGTCTGCAATGAGAATGAGAATGATAAAATACATATAACAAAGACATATGACAAAACACACATGCACACACACATACACACACACACAGGTTTGTTTTTGTGAAAAGTGGGGACATCCCATAGGCATAATGGTTTTTCTACTGTACAGACCGTATATTCTATTGCCCTTCACCAACCCTACCCCTAAACCTACCCCTCACAGGAAACTTTGTGCTATTTCAGTGAATAAATATATCTCACATGCACTTTCAAAGCAAAACACCAAAACATTTCACAAGTTTCTTTGGTTTCAAATTAATCAACTCTGTTCAAATAAAACAGTAGACATTGTAAAAAAGACAAAAAAAAAGACAATTTTAAATTCAAAAATATAATTAAACCTCTCTGTCATAACGAATGATTGACAGATGTCACTCACCATGACGATGCCCCCTGACTGCTCCGCAGTGCACATGCTCATAATGGGAGCCATGCCGATGGTGGTGCCCTGGAAGTAAACGCCACTGAAGAGGGAAAACAGGAAGTCATGTGACACACGTTCATCTAGAGCAAGCTGGGTAAAGTTTCAATAGAAACAAAGTGTTTTAAATAAAAATATGTGAATAAAACCTCACACATTTTTCAACATTTCAAAATAATAAATAGTGAAGCAATTCTTCCTGGAGGAAACAGTGCATTGAGTCTGGTGGTAAACCGCATGCTGTGTTTTCCACCTGCCGGCCCTCAGCAGTAAACGCGTTTAGCAGTCAAACCTGATGAGCTGAGCGTTATCGTGGGGTCTCTGCGGGAGCAGCTTGAGTTTTCTCCAGTCCAGGAACTCGTGGAGCGATGTGAACGGATCCTGTGTGATGGAGCATTTGTCTCCGTCACTCCACACCTCCAGCCCCACCAGAGCCACACGGATATTCAGCGATCTGTAAAACTGAAACACGGCAGCGCTTGCTATCAGCAAATCAACTTAAAGCAGATATTTCAAGGGGGAAAACCTGACAAAAACTCACACAAGTTGCACAAATATTTACCTAGGAATAATTTTCTTACCACTTTATTGCAAAATTTCCGGTAAAGATATGCAAGAAACTGTTTTGACTAAATAACATATACTGAGATATATATTCAGAGTTGCATTTATATATTCAGGATTTATAAATATGTATTCCAATTTACACTTATATGTTCAGAGTTATAACTTTGCATATTCAAGATTAATAAAAAATGTACAATCATATAGGCAGAATTATAACTATATATTCACAATTTATTTTATAATTATAGTTAAAATATATTTAAAATTTCAACAACAATATATAAATATATTCT